TTTTCTTTTTACACTGACTCAGATATAATGAAAAGACTACGTCAGTAGAAGCTCAGCTTTGGTAAGGAAGAGACAGGACAGGCAGAGAGAGAGAGAGAGAGAGAGAGAGAACACGTGATGGAAGTCAGGGAGGAACTGCAGGTACAGTCACACAAAATAATGTAGGCTTAATTTACAATAGGCATAATTGTAAAACAACATACATCTATTGCAGTTATGATGTCATAATAACATACAATTGTATAAAACACAATTTGCTTACATCTTTTTTTCTCTTTTGAGAACCAAACAAAACAGATTTAAATGACAAAAAGAATGCAAGCAAACAAACAAGTGAAATGAACTAAATTGCTGAGTTGCTTTTAATTCACTGGCAGGAGCGACAAGTGAGGAGGAGGAGCAAAAAGTGAACAACAAGGGAGAGATTGAACAAAGAGAAAGAGTAGAGGACAGAGAGAGTAATGAACAGGAAGAAGACAGAGAGACTAAAGAAGATGGAAGAGAGGCTGCAGGTTATGGAAAGGAGACACATGGAAAATTAATGTTGACAATGTTTTGTGATCATTTTAGCCTCTTCTGCATGTCCAGATCATTAATAGCAACAATCAACTGATTCTTATGCATTACACTTTCAAAAATAATTGATGCTGACATTGTCAGCCCACTGACATGGTTTGAAATCAATATATTATCCAATGTGTGACCCCCCCACAGGACTTAAAAAGCACCTAACTAGATAATGAAAATCCCAAAGATCTCGGGGGGTGTCTCCCGAACCCCCCTAGCATGTTTGGACCTCGGTATTTAGGAAATCCTGGATACGGCCTTGCCGCCTACACTGCGTTACTATAGTAACTACCCCAGTTCCTAAACTGTAATGTGAACGCGGGATTAAAGTGAGCCGGGCCTAATAAGGCCTAACCAGGCCGGGCGAGGCCGAGCGAGGCCTGCAGTGTAAATGCGCCATTATTGTAATGTGTACATAGCTACAGTGTACTTATGACACTGGAGATCTTCGGTCACAGGCTCCTCCAACAGTGCAACACAATAAACCTGATGATCGTGCAAGTTAATAATATAAAATTGAGTATAATAGGAGTTGATAACAGTTCAGTTTGTTTAATGATCCATTCTGTACTATTAACCCCCCCTCTGTGCTCAGGTCCGACCGGCTGCTCGAGCACTGCTCCATCGCTCTGGTTGGGAAATACACAAAGTTCTCCGACTCGTACGCCTCGGTGATCAAAGCTCTGGAACATTCTGCGCTCGCCATCAGCCACAAACTGGAGGTCAAGGTAAACACCACGATCGCTTCTCAATAAGGTCTAGCTTTTATTCCCTTCATAAATCACAGCCACATACCATTTAGGCAACAACTCCAGTATGAGGACGAACATTATAATGACACATTCATTCATTAAACTATGCCTTTGTCTGATTCTGCTTTGTTAATATCAAACATGCAAAAGCCTCATTTCGACTCCAGCAGTGAACCAAACATCCAGTGAAAAGGCACATTTATCATCAATACTTGTCATTTAAATGTTGCCAAAGCAGTGCATTTAAGGTAGACAAGATTTCTATTAAAACAGAATGTCTTGAATTTATATTTAATTAAATAGAAATAGCTTTACCAGCAACACTGCATTAAAGACATCTGTAAGACAATGAAGCTCACCAAATAAAGTCATACAGTTTCAATCTAAGCTAACAACCAATCACATGACTGTTTTCCTCCTCAGTACATCGACTCAGCCAATCTGGAGCTGTCCACGCTGCAGGAGGAGCCGGTGAAATACCACGAGGCCTGGCAGAAACTCTGCAGCGCCGAGTCAGTGCTCAATTTATTAATCTGTATTTATAACTCATGGACTTTAAAGGTCTCCTATTGTGCAAAGCCCTCTTCTTCATGTCTCTTCTACATCAACATGTGTCCCCTCTTCTTCATGTCTCTTCTACATCAACATGTGTCCCCTCTTCTTCATGTCTCTTCTACATCAACATGTGTCCCCTCTTCTTCATGTCTCTTCTACATCAACATGTGTCCCCTCTTCTTCATGTCTCTTCTACATCAACATGTGTCCCCTCTTCTTCATGTCTCTTCTACATCAACATGTGTCCCCTCTTCTTCATGTCTCTTCTACATCAACATGTGTCCCCTCTGTGGAAAGAGACTCTGAAAGTTTCAGGAACAAAGATTCTCTCTCTTTTTGTCCTGATCCATTTCTATAAAAACCTGTCTGAAAATGAGCTGATCAGATTTTGGCCACTTTATGATGTCATAACGATGTTTTGTCTTGTGTAACCATTAGCCAATCACCAACTGCAACCCTTATCACCTGCATCTCCTCCTAAAGCACCATTGAGTTCTTTGTAACCAAATCCCTCTCAGAGGGGCGTGGGGAGGGGCTCCTTATTTTCATCTAAAGTAACAGACAGAGAATCAGCACTTTGGAAACAGGGCTGAAACAGAGGGGATTATGGGTAATGCTGCAATGATCAGTTTGTTGTTTCAGCCAATCAGAGACATGTTCTGTATATATCTGAGACCTATAATATATTGATGAAGAACAGAATAATAGGGGACCTTTAAATGTGTATTTACACCCCTCTGTATCTTCAGTGGGATCCTGGTTCCTGGAGGGTTCGGGGTCAGAGGAACTGAAGGAAAGATTCACGCCATCAACTGGGCGAGGAAACAGAAGAAACCCTTCCTAGGTCAGGAGAAAGATATCTTACCGACCTGCTGCTATACTTACAGATGAGATGTTTTAAAATGTCTGACGTGTACCTCTGGTTCTGCAGGTGTGTGTCTCGGGATGCAGTTAGCTGTGTGCGAGTTCGCCAGGAACACACTCGGCTGGGCAGGTAATCAAACTCTCCTGGGGTTCTCATTTTTATGGGCGTGGCGTTTTGTATTTGTCCGAAATCACTGAAATCTAGAGAGACTGAAGAGCAAGCTATGGTGTCGGAATCAGGTTTATTACCAGGTGCATTTACACATAAAGGAGTTTGCTTTGGTGTCTGGAGGTGTGAACATAAATACTATAAGAAAATAAGTTTCAATTCAAGGTAAAAATAATAATACTCAAGACAAGTATTATCACCAACTTTAAATATACAAGGATCCTTAAAAGCTAGAAAACGAAATCATTTAGTGTTGCACCCGTTACAATGCTTATGTTATATTTTGAACACTAGATGGCGTAGTGGGGCATTTATTGAAACAACATGAAGACACTTAGAATAATTAGCATTTTCAAACTGCTTTATAAATGGGGAAAGAAAAATGTCAACAGTCATTAATACTTACCCTTATCTTATCATTCATTACTATGTAAAAAAACTGACTTCTTCTGTTTTCTCCTTAGGCGCCAACTCCACTGAATTCGACCCCGACACAAAGCATCCTGTGGTGAGTCCGCTGTTAAATTCAGGAGTGACATACGTTTTGTTTTTACCTGGAAAGTGCGTTAAATTCAGATTATCCCTGTGATCCCTGCAGGTGATCGACATGCCCGAACACAACCCGGGTCAGATGGGCGGCACCATGCGGCTCGGGAAGAGACGCACCATCTTCATGACCAACAACAGCGTGCTGCGTGAGAGACGCTTTATACTGGTACCTAATGTGTTGTTGTTGTTGTTTACCTGCTGCTAACAGCCTCTCTGTGTTCCAGGAAAACTCTACGGAGACGCAGAATATGTGGACGAGAGGCACAGACATCGCTTTGAGGTACGTTCACCTGCAGAGTTTAACAACACTTGGATCCTTTACTGAAGTGACGCAATACATTATATACAATATTGTTATTTTTTAATCATTACGTTTAATCTGGTTTGTTTTGTGTTTGCATCTTTTATTTTAAATGTGTTTATTTAATGTTTTGTGAACTTATCTCTCTGTACAGCACTTTGGTCTCAAAGTTTTTAAAGTGCTATATAAATAAAATTGGATTGGAATACGACAAAATACACATGTGACCTGCTCCATCGAAATCAGTCACATTAACCCGAAGACACATTTTGAGTTATATACACTGATTTATATACACTGATGGAAAGAGGAGACTCCTAGCTTTCTTCCGACTGATTTCGATAGAGCGGGTCACATATATGTGCCGCGTATCAGAGGTTATTTAAACAGATGTGCATTAAATGTGCTAGGTTACATCCCACCTCTCTGACAGTTGTGTGCGTGTATGTTTTTATTTCATTACGTTGTTGTCCCGTGCAGGTGAACCCAGAGCTGAAGAGCCACTTTGAGGAGAAAGGTTTCCGCTTCGTGGGTCAGGACGTGGAGGGAGAGAGGATGGAGGTCATCGAGCTCGACGGTGAGAGGAAGGAACTAAAATAATTTTCTCAGTCAAATGCAAAAATCGTGCATCCCTACTTTAAAACCCTGAGTGGTGCAGGGATGTTGTTTCTGTGATGTTCCCTGAAGGCAGCATCTCCCTGATTCAATGTTTGAGAACAAAACGTTAAATCTCTTCAGCTTGTGTCACAGACCTTATTAAAGGATGACAACCAAAAACACACTCAGAAAACCATTGACTTCCAGACTAGGGGACAAGAAGTGGTTAAAGCGAAGTCATTTCAGGGTTTGAGGACTCGACCTGTCACCACTCTGTTTCTATACTGATGGTGTTTTTGACTGGACTGTGTTTCTGTTTTCAGATCATCCGTACTTCGTGGGGGTTCAGTACCACCCAGAGTTCACCTCCCGCCCCATCAAGCCCTCCCCCCCGTACCTGGGGCTGCTGCTGGCTGCCGCCGGGAAGCTGCCGGGGTATTTAGTGAAGGGCTGCCGGCTATCACCACGGTACACACAATAAATATTTACTACTACTACTACTACTATTGCTGCCGGGGTATTTAGTGAAGGGCTGCCGGCTATCACCACGGTACAATGCTACTACTGCTACTATTGTTGCAGAGGTATTCAGTGAAAGATTCCAAGATTACTTAATTGTATTCTCCTGAAGCCTCATGGAGAAAAATATTGTTTCCACATCAAAGATATAACGTATAATATCGTTTCAATAATATACTAATGGGCTCTTTTTTTCTGTAAGCTTTAACATGCAGTACTCCAAATGGGTATTTTGTTTTGGAGTTTGTGGATAATTAAACCCAGTTTTTCTGATCAAAGGTGATTAATGCCTGTTGTTTGTGTTTCCTGCAGCGACACGTACAGCGACCGCAGCGGCAGCAGCAGTCCAGACTCAGAGATCTCAGAACTCAAAATGCCTTCACTCTCTAACGAATGACTTTGAGCTACAAAATAAAATGTTCGTGTTTTCAGATGCAAGTGTCTTAATTGACCTACAGATGGTTTGAGGAAACCACATTTTCAGTTGGACAAATGACACCAAAGATGGTTTCACGCCTGTTACAGTTTTTTGTTTCATATCAACACGTTTTCAAACCTCACCGCTGCCTCCTTCAGTTTGACAGTTTTGCAGGTATAGGCACATTGAAGAATGAATGACAATAAAGTGATGAGCAATATTTCTTTACTATGGGGACATGTGCACCTGATGTAATAAAAATAACTGAATTATGCGCAAATGTTGGTATTTGTGAAATGTCTTGAATTAAAGGTAAACGTATTAGCCCTGAAGCTATAGGAGCTGCACACGGCTCTTCTGTAAGAATGGATGTAGAGTTTACATTTAGTATATTTGGTCAAATACCCAACCCAGTCTCACGGCATTTCGTGTTATAGTCATGAAATGTAATCTATTGATTCGTGTTCACCAACACCATTTCCCCTTTTTTTTCGTGTCACACAACGATTTTAAAAGCAATGTATTTCTATTGGTATGTTTCGTGCCTGCAACACGTATTTTTGTCCGATCGGGTCTTGGATGACCGGCAGCTGCGTGGTTCATAAAAACATGTTCTTACTCAATATCAAGCCACGATTATTATTTTAATTTTAAATCGTATAATGTCGGACGGACGGACAAATTGTATAATGTCCGTCCGTGAGGAAAAGAAATGGGGCTCAGAGTCTCAGAATACTGAAATATCTAATTTGTTATTATTTGGTGCAGGCACGAAACATTCTACCAATAGAAATACATTGCTTCTAAAATAGTTCAGTCAGAATACTGAAATCTGTATTTTTTTCCTTCTGTGTTATTATTTACATTGCTTTTAAAATCGTTCTGTGTGACACGGAAAAAAACGGGGAAATCGTGTTGGTGAACACGAATCAATAGATTATATTTCATGACTATAACACGAAATGCCGTGAGACTGGGTTGCAACACCACATGACTTCTGACCGAAACATTGGTCACTTGTTCCTCAGTTTGCAGCTGCCACAGTGAGATAAATGAGAATAAAATTAAGTTGAAAGGTGGATATTTCCTGATGCAATGAATAAAAGCAACCTTTTTAAATCTCACATCCTCAAATGAAAGGTGACCTATCATGCAAAATGTACTTTTGTACGTCTTTTCTACATGAATATGTGTCCCCGGTGTTCCAGAGACTCACCAAGTGTCAGAAAACACAACCCTCTCTATTTTCCTCCATACCCAAATCTCTTAAAAAGGGGCTGCAACAGATCTGATACAGACTGATCCAGATTTGAACACTTCTGTGACGTCACAGAAGTGCCGCTACGGCTATTGGGCCAACTCCACCAATCAGGAGGAGACAGCCACGGACATTGCCGTTGGAAAGCGCTGGAGACGCTGTAGTACATATGCCAGGCCTGTAGATGGTGCTGTTCTCACAGAATCAGCACATGCAAAGACAGTGTTAAATTGAGCGAAATGAGGAATGGCTAAAATGCATGACCTGTTTGGTATTTTGAAAAATAAAAAGTATAAATATGCCTTATATAGGTATGGTCCTACACTGTATTATTCAAATATAGCATGATAGGTCCACTTTAAATGTGACATGAATATGAACCATGAAGTGTACAAGCCCCCTCCTAGCTGCTGGGTCTAGACTGTACACCAGTGTTCGGAAAGGTTCTTTGTTTTTGGATGAGTCATTTTGGTAACTTGGAAGTATTTGGAGTTTTGTCTAGCCTTCATTGCACGTGCTGAAACTTGAAGACTTAACTGTATTAAATAAAATTTGGCATTGCACTGACATCTGAAAGAGGTTACCTGTGCTTCAGTTTGATATTCAAGCTAGACATGATCCCTGGACAATTTACACCTTTTTCAAAAATAACCATGAATTGAAAACAAGCCCTCAGTACATGCTGTGTCTGCAATTATTTAAAGGTCACCTATTCTACTGTTTTTCATCAATAGCCTTCATTGCCTTGAGATCATTGCAGCATCAAAAGTTATGTTTGGAAAAATACATAAATTGCATTTTCATTTCAATAAAGTACTTTCTATACCCTGCTTCATAAACAATACTGACATCCCTGTGCTCCTCCGAGTCTGTCTCACAGTCCGGGGATGTGAGGACAGCGCGAGGACAGACAGGGAGGCTGCTTCACTTCATAAAGGAAATGGCGATCAATATTAACATAGGAGCTAAAACGATTAATAACCTTCATTACGTGTTGGAGAAAGAACATAAGAAAGGTTGACAAAGATGAGGCTGTTAAACGGGCAGCGGATCCGCTGTGTGTAGAAAGAGACGCTGAGCTGCACCGTTCAGCAATCAGCTGATCCGGAGCAGAGAGAGAGCTGTTGTTATGTTCTTACTCTGTACCTGGTTTTGCTTCTCAAACCTGCCACTGTGCTCGTTACACGCCCCGCCCCGTCTGACAGTACAGAAAGCGGCGAGATGCATTTCCTTAGGAATCAATAAGCAGAACCGAAACTAAGGTTTCTAAATGATACCGATGGAATCGAAATGTTGGAACCGGGTTTCGGTACCCAACCCTACTAACCCTTCAAACCTCTAGTTCTCCCGACAGCAAGGACTCTTCAGCTGCTGGGATGCATGTTCCTCAGATGAACTTCTTTACTGAGAAAGCTGCTAAACTGGCTCAGGAACGACATGCAGCTCCAGTACAACTCTCACCTTGGCCTTACTGTAAATAGGTTTATTAGCTGTTTGCAGTGCATTAAACGAGTCTCCAAATGTCCTTCACATGTGTAAATACAAGAATATCAATAAAGGGATTCTCGAAATTGTTCCGTGTAAGATGTTTATTTCAACAATTGTTTCAGAGAGAAAACATTCAGCTGGTCAGTTTGTAAGAAATCTTTTACAGAGAACTCAGACGGTACTTCTATAGCACTTTGTCCAGTCGCTACATCCTCCGGTCCTCCTTCACCATCTTCCTGCTGCCTTCAACGCACTGCACCTGAGAATACAAAGAAACTACATTTAGTTAAATTCAAACACTTTTTCTGAGGTCATTATTTAAGATCTGATCTCAGTCCCATATCCGCGAGTTTCATCCAACAGTCCTCTTGTTTTAAAATCATAGATCAGGAATTTATGAAATGATTGACAAAATAAAAAATAAAAATAAAAATAAAAAATCCAGAAAATACTCATCGTCTGATTTTTAAAGAATTTATTTGAAAATTATGGTGGAAAATGAGTATTTGGTCAATAACAAAAGTTCATCTCAATACTTTGTTATATACCCTTTGTTGGCAATGACAGCTCAAACATTTTCTGTAAGTCTTCTAAGGGATTTGAGTCCCTGGCGGCGTAGTGTGTTACTGATGGTAGCCTTTGTTACTTTGGTCCCAGCTCTCTGCAGGTCATTGACTAGGTCCCCCCGTGTGGTTCTGGGATTTTTGCTCACCGTTCTTGTGATCATTTTGACCCCACGGGGTGAGATCTTGCATGGAGCCCCAGATCGAGGGAGATTATCAGTGGTCTTGTATGTCTTCCATTTTCTAATAATTGCTCTC